GGTTGGAGCACGCATGGGAAACTCGCATGTACATACTACATGGAAAACAACAAGTCATTCACGCTAGCAAATGGACGCAAAGCTTCTTTTTTTGACTGTCACCGTCGCTTCTTGCCACTTAATCACAGGTATAGAAAGAACAGAAAAGATTTCTTTATTGGTAGAGTTGAAAAAGATGTTGCATCCCCACGTCTTTCTGGTGAAGAATTGCATGATGTTGTCTCAGAGTACGGTGACATTGTGTTTGGCCTTTAATCAGGTAAGCAAAAGTTTTCTGGTTTTGGTTTGACCCATAATTGGGTAAAGCGAAGTATATTTTGAGAGCTTCCTTATTAAAAGACCAATCTGCTCCACCATAACCTTGACGTCATGCACATCGAAAAGAACATGTTTGAGAACATTTTCAACACCGTCATGGATGTGAAGGGGAAGACAAAGGACAACATCAAGGCTAGATTGGATATAGCTTTATACTGTAACCATAAAAATATGGAGTTGGTTTATGATGAGTCATGGGTTGCAAAACCAAGAGCAAGCTTCGTGTTAGAGAAAAACGCACAACTGCTAGTCTACAAATGGCTTAAGAGTCTGTGTTTTCCAGATGGACATGCATCGAACATATCACGGCTGGTTAATGTAGAGGACTGCAAATTCTATGGAATAAAGAGTCATGACTGCCATGTGTTTATGCAAACACTCATCCCATTAGCTTTTCGTGATTTGTTGCCAAAGGGAATATGGGATGCACTCACGAAGACCAGTCATTTCTTCAGAGATATATGCTCCAGCAAGTTGAATGTTGATCACATTGAGAGGCTTCAAACGAATATCGTCGAAACACTATGCAAACTTGAGATGATATTCCCTCCATCATTTTTTGACTCAATGGAGCATCTCCCTATACATCTACCGTTCGAGGCAAAGCTACAGGACCGGTCCAATATAGATGGATGTACCCATTCGAACGGTTAGATATTATAGTTGCAATGTAATTCATATATAAAAGTATTTTATATGTTTTTCTTAATTAAAAATACTTGATTAATATTTCAATGTAGGTACTTGTTTAATCTAAAAAAAAAGGTTAAGAACAAGGCGCATGTTGAGGCTTCAATATATGAGGCCTATATTGTTGAGGAGATCTCAACATTTATCTTATACTATTTCAAACCTCATCTAAGAATGAGAATTAATCGCGTTCCCCGGCATGATGATGGCGGTGAAGTGCCTTCCAATGGGAACTTGTCAATATTTTCCAATACTGGACGACCCATACCTAAAAATACCGTAAGAGGAAGATATTTGTCAGAAATAGAGTTCAAACAAGTACACAACTACGTTCTATTTAACTGTGATGAGTTGAGACCTTTTATTCAGTAAGTTTATACTAATTAAACTTTGTTAGTAATATATTGTTAATTATTTATTGTAATATCATACACTCATTATCACTTGCAGGCAACATCGACAATATTTGCTCTCCAATAACTCACAGCTGACCGAATCCCAGATCTTTCAATTACAAGATGAGCAGTTTGTCACATGGTTCAGAACACATGTAAGCACTATCACAAACTCATTCTAACTTGCAAAATTACTGTACGTATGCATGTCATTATGAGATTCTCGTTCATTTATTGTTTATTGATGTACATTACATACAAGGTTTATCAAATGGGAAGGAGTGCACCTAAGTCATTGTCTTCAGTAAGCCTGAGGCCTGAAAGAAAATGTAAGTGCTACAACAAGTATTTTGTCAATGGATATGTTTTCCATACTAAAGAATACGGGCAAGGAAGAAAGACATACAACAGCGGTGTTTGTGTTAAGGGATCAACTAGTAGTGAGTTAGAAGTTGACTACTATGGTAGATTAGAAGAGGTCGTCGAACTGCAATATCATAACGAGCAGAATAAAGTGTTTTTATTCAAATGCTATTGGTATGACACGACTGACAGAGGAATCAGAGTTAATCCGCACTATGGTCTGGTCGAAATTAACTCAAAAGCTAGACTTCGCAACATAAACAATGTCTTTGTTCTCGCAAAGTAATGTCAACAAGTTTATTACACATACACCCCTTCAATTAGAAAGGATCGATCAAGAGTGGATTGGTTGTCCATTTTAAAAACAAAACCTCGGGGTCGTGTCGAGGTTGTTCAGGATGAGAACGAAGACAAAAGTGTGCGAGATGAAGTCTTTCAAGTTAGTGAGGTGGTTGAACCATATCGAGTTGCTCCTTCGATTGAATTGGAAGAAAATTCAAATTTTCATGTTTTCAATGATAGTCTTGTTGATGTTGACATAAAGGAGTTGAATTTTGTTTTAAGCTCTAGCGGACAAGCAACTGTTGATGAAGAAGATGATATTCATAATGAAGATTGCGATGAAGGTGATGACAATTCAATTGATGACAATGAAGAAAAAAATTCTGACTAACTACCAAAATGAAACCCTATGTAAAACCCTTTTTGTCATGTAATTTAGATTATGGATTATATATTTTGAAACATAAAATATTTATTACTTGAAATAATTAGTTAAAATGTCACAATTACGAAATAATTATTGATCATGAATGATATATTTAGTAACATGAAATAATTACTGGAAATGTCACCTAATCACCGACGACAACACCGATGGCCACAAGGCCGTCGGAATTTCACAGAGAGTTTGAAAATAATAACTGGAAATGCCACCCCATCACCGATGGCAGGAGCGACGGAAACAAGGCCGTCAGCATTTCACAAAGAGTTCGAAAATAATTACTAGAAATGCCACCCAATCACCGATGGCAGGAGCGACGGCCACAAGGCCGTCGGCATTTCACAGAGAGTTCGAAAATAATTACTGGAAATGCCACCCCATCACCGACAGCAGGAGCAATGGAAACAAGGTCGTCGGCATTTCACAGAGACTTCAAAAATAATTACTGGAAATGCCACCCCATCACTGATGGCAGGCGCAACGGACACAAGGCCGTCGACATTTCACAGAGAGTTCAAAAATAATTACTGAAAATGTCACCCCATCACCAACGGCAGGCGTGATGGAATTGAGTCCGTTGGAAATGTGTCGGCGGGTCAATTTTAGCGACAAACTTACCGACGGACCGCGCGCATTTCAAAGCATTGTGCATTAAATTCATCTCTGACCGCGTCATATTGCCTATGAATTTACCGACGGAACGCGAAAAATATGGAGGGACATTAAAAATTTTGGTGCGAAATTCAAAATTTACCGACGGATTTTTACACCTTACCGACATAATAAATTAAAAATAATAATTAATTTTATATCCGTCGGTAAAACTAGCATATGACCGTCGGTGAGTCCGCCGGTAATCCATGGGTAAAACTACCATATAAGTGCCCTCGTCCGCCTCTTCAGTTCATTTTCTCTCCTCCAAACTTCTTCACCTTTCTTTTCCTCTTCGTTCTGATCTCCCTTCTTCACCGGCGATATAAAGCTTTTTTTGTGGTGAATCTCCATCAATTGAAAAGGTTAGTGTTTCTTCTTTTTCATTTTACTTTAATGGTTTTTTTTTGCTATTTTTTTGTTATGTTTTTTGTTTTGGTGTATTTTTTGTAATGTAGATAAAATCCATAGTTTTTGTTTGCATAATTCATTGCTAAAGTCTATAGTTTTTTTTTTGAATTTTTTGAATATTTTTTATTGTTGTTTTGACATAATTATTATTAGTTAATTTGTTGAATAAATGTTGAATTTATCTTAGGATTAGTAATTGAGTATGTTGGAATAATTATTAATTTTACTTTATTATTGCATGATTTGGGTTTAATTTTTTTGATTTATTTTGATTGTTATTCTAGAGTTTTTTTTAAATTTATTGTTTTGTTGTATTGGCATAATTATTGAATAATTTGTGGAATTGTAATTTTTAATGTTGAATTTACCTTAGGATTAGGAATTGAATATGTTGGAATAATTAGTTTAGATTGGGTAAATTGGTTGTGGCTATTGTTAATATGTGTAGGTTTGTGGATTTGGGTAGTATCCAATATAGGGGAGGTGCTGTCGAATTGTTTTTTAACATTTGAGTTTAATTATATAATTATTTGTATAAAATTGTGTAGATGCGTAGATCGAAAACCAGAGCTGGTCGCTCACGTAAAGTCGTAGCTAGTTCGTCTAACAGCGATGAGGATATCTCCTTAGGCGCCTCTGAAGAAGAGGCACCTACACCACCTGCGCCGTCTACCGATGCTGCCTCTTCCAGCACTACTTCACAGCGCAGAGGCGGCGTGCCTTCGCAGCGGAATCAATTTACCCGCCAATACGAGGCACAGTGGAAGGATGACCTTTCAATGTAAGTTTGTTAAGGTTTTAGTTTTTTCTTTTTTATATTACAACATAATTTATGAAATAGTCATTATTGAATTTATTTCATTTATTTTCAGGTTCACAAACATTGAAGCCGCCTGAGTAATATCATCGACATTTAAATCGTTGATGGAGATTCCATTGTTTCAGTGGAGTCAGTTATCAAAGCATCCTAAATGGATGCCTCAAATCAATGCATGGTTTAACAAGTTTGAGGTTGGTATTAATTTATAATTTTTAGCTTATTAATTTAATTATAAATAAATTATTATTTTTATCTAAACTTGTTCATTTATACACAGTACAAATTCTGTTGGGATAGTGAGCATAACATTGTTGTGAGGAGGGAGTGGGAAAATCACGCGGCAACTAGGTAAGATCGAAAACAATACAAGATTTTTTTTAGACAAAAAATTATGTTTCAAAATGTAATTTTTGGTTGCGTGATGTAGGTTGCGTGATTTTTGGTATGAAGCACAAGGAAAGGCAAAAAAAGCCGTGAGGGATAGGGGTTTACAAGGCTTGAATGATGTTGCAGTTTGGAGGGATTTCAAACCGATATACATCTCGGAAGATATATGGCCGCACTATATTGAGCACGTGACGTTTGAGCGGTTCGCATGGCACTCAAAGTCAAGTGCTAACAACCGCAACGGCCAATTCATGGCAGGGTGACAACGCACACTGGCGGCTCCGTTCCATTTGCTGCATATGCGAAACGGATGGTAAGATTAATTTAAATGAAATATATCATTAAATTCAGTTGTTGTTAATATATCTTTTTTCATTATAGGCTGCGTCTCTTGGACGTGAGCCGAGCCTGATGGAGCTGTTTGTGGAGACGCACATGCGGAGTCAAGACCGCCAGAAGGGGGTGCAATAGTTCGTTGATAACCGTGCTCAACATTTCGTGGTATGTTTGTTCAACCATTTCATTTTGTAAGTTATTATGTTTATTGAATTGAATATGATGATAACTTGTTTTTTTATTTTATTTTTAGGAGACCTATAATAATCGGTTGAGGGAGAGATATGGAGACGATATTTTGAACTATCCGGAATTCGATCTAGATTTGTGGATGGAGGCTGGCTCCTCAGGTGGACCCGATAAAAATTAGGTTTACGGGCTCTCCAACGCTACGGCCGACAACTTGCGATTGACCCGTAGTGTTTCAACCGTTGGGAGTTCCCAATCAATAACGAACTCCAAATCTAAGGAATTTGAGGCCTTGCAGCAACACACGGCTCAGATCACCGAGAAATACGACCACCTATCAGCGAAGTACGTGCACCTCATTTAGATTAATCTTCTTTTTTTGCGCCAAATTCCGTTTGTAAAACCATCGCCAAATGGTTTTTTTGTTTTTCCGACCGATATAACGATGGAATGTTGAATCACCGACGAAAGGTAACCCGACGGACGTAATCCATCGGTGATTGCGTCGGTAAAAAAATCACCGACGACCTTCTAATCACACACCGACAGAATATTTCCGTCGGTAAAATTGTGAAATCTTGTAGTGTTTCTTTATTAAATTTAGTTTTTTTAAAAGAATTTATTTTTTTATTACATTAAATTAATTGAATAAATATAATCATAATATGCTCACTTCATGATATTTTATTTTGTATACTTTTGGTGTCATTGTTTTGTCAATGCATATGACTTCTTTGAATGTCATCATACAATCTTTCACAATGATGTTAATATTGTCTTAGCGAGCTCTTTCTAGTAATTAGGTGGTGTTTACGATGTAATGACAATGATTCTCTAATGGTCTTTTCTTTCTCATCCCGAATATTGTATTAACAACTTATCTTTTATAGCTAATTGTTGAAAAAAATTGATCTCTTTGTATACTATCAATGTCTTTTTATTAATATATTGTTAAATTAATCGAATTTATTGAACTCAGTTAGGTTAATGATTTGGGTTTTTAGTTTTTCTTTTTTTAAAAAAAACAAGGGTATCGCCTAAACATTTTTTTTTTCATTGTCAATTTGTTTTTCAATTTATTTATTATTTAAATTATTCAATCTTAACTTATTAAATATAGTTGAAATAATGATTCAAGTCCTGAATTTTTTGTGTTTTTAGACATGCTTGCATTGCTTTAATTTTTTTTTTGGTTAAAAAAATTAAGCTCCTCGGAGGTATAGTACAAGCCATCTATCTAGATGGCTACTGATTATTATTATTATTATTATTATTATTATTATTATTATTATTATTATTATTATTATTTTGATTTCAAAAATTTGCTTATTTAATGACATAACATTTATTATAAAGAACGAACTCCAAAACACATAATATCGGTATTATCATATTTAATGTAAAATTATTATAAAATTAATTAAGTGATTGATAAATCATAAATCACCTAATCTCATATCACTCAACAAAGAATTTTAATAAAAAAATAGTTTCCTCAATTCTTCAATTCAATGTCATTTCAACGACAATCTCTTCTGTCAACATTCCATGTAATAATTAGGATTTTACATAATATTTGAAGCATGACGTTTGGCATCTAGTACTCTTTGCTTGGAAAAGAATTGGAAAAGGTGTGGTCAAAAAGTTTTATTTTGCAGCATGTTTTTGGTTTAATACTAGATTAAAATGTTTTATATGTATTTCCCCATATCACAATTGAACATATCTGTACTTTGTTTAATTTTACATAACATTTGATCAAGGAGAAATGATATTTTGCCAAAGATGACTGTACGTAGAGCTCTTCCGTCATGGATATATGTGAGTGATATTCTCTAACAGTTTATTTCTAGTTTCCTTTATAGTCAAGAATCTGACTAAATTATTTGCTGCTAGATAGAACCCGACAAAAGTTTTTCTATCTTGCTCATGTAATTGACATGTTAAAAGGATGAATCAAACTTAATTATTACACAATTCAACTTTAGAAAGCATATTGATTCAAGAAATCATGTCTTGGTTCTGTATACTAAAGAGATTTGTGCATGAGATGGTAATCATAAATACTGGAGTAAATAGTTGAATAGGTTGTTAGTCTTACTATTGAAGTCCAATCATATTTTTTTACTGCAAAAAATGTTAGCACAAACACCCAAGTTGTATCAAAACTTGATCCAAATACATCAATTAGCTATATAAGCTACTATGTTCAACGCTCGAGTCTTCATAGTTTCACGAAATTATTATGAAGAATGAAGAAAGACAGTGAGCAAGAGGTGGGTGCAAGACACATCTAAGAGAAATGTCTCGCGTGTGTGTGTGTCATAATTGAATATATGTTTGCTTTGTTCAATTTTATAAAATATTTGATTTCAATCATTCAAATTTTTAAACCATATCAATCGTTGCAAAGAAAATATACCCATAACATGAAAAAAAAAAAACTTGCATGTTTATGTTAAGAGTTTTTTTTTTTAAAAAAAATCATAACATTGAGATTCTAAAAAGAAAAAGAGCTATAATTTGAGAGAGAAACTTTTATCTCAAGTTAATTAAGTTGTATTATCATTCATGAATGAACTACGTAATCTCAATCTACATTTATTTAATTCAAGGAAATTTAGCTAAAAAAAATAGAAAGCTAACAATTAAGTTTCTTGATAGTTACAATTAAAATAACCTTCAAAAACACACTTGACACATATTTATTGTCTAAGCTTATTAGAGCATGGATTATTCTATTATAACTATTTTTTTTGTAATAAATGATCATAATAGTACCCTGTTGGAATATTCAAGCATTCAAACATACACAAATTTATATAGTTCGGTAACTTGTCTACTCCACAGAACTACAAGTTTATATTAATTACTCAAAAAAATAATACAAACAAAGAGAGGGAGAAAACTCTTTTTATCTCAACTCTACACTCAAACTCTCTCTATTGCTCTCACTCTCTCAGTTTTTCACTCTGTATTTCACACTTAACTTCAACTATTTAACTTGTCTATTTATAAACAAGGCTGGGGAAACATGGGATATAAATCATGACATAATTTATACTACCAATTAAGTCTTTATTATATACCAAGTGAAAGATTATATATTTTCACTTGAATATAATGGAGGTGGAAGAATGTTTGTCCCCACTAACACCTATTCCATAATACACCCTTGTCATTAATGACAAAACCAAAAAATTGACACCAAAATCTCTTCATGACTAGCATCTTCAACTATGTAGATTGGAACGTTGATCTTGTCTAAGCATTAGAAGAAAACAGTCAAGAGGCAGGAGAAAATTAGGAGAGAAAATAGAACAAAGGCTATTAACAAACTTAAACAATGAACTTCATAACCTCTCTTCTCTAAACCTATGTTTTGTTAGATCGTCTAAGCATTAGAAGCCGAGGCTTCTAAACAGTGGATTGTCATTGAAATGGGTAAGTCTATAGTTCTTAAATGCAAAACAACAATATTTTATTTAACTTACTTACAACATTCCATTAATTTAATCAGACAAAGACTATGTTGAAGTGTGTCATTGGGCAACAAATCAATGTTTTACATTTCAATAAAAGCAAAAGAAAAGAAAATGCAAGTTGGCAGCGAAGCAAAACTGCAATAGTTAACCATCTAGGTGGTGGTCAAGTGATAAAAAACTTGGGACTAAGGGGTTTGCTCCCTCTGTGGTCTCAGGTTCGAGTCCTTGGTTGCTCATATGATGGCCATTGGAGGTTTACATGGTCGTTAACTTCAGAGCCCGTGGGATTAGTCATAGTGCGCGCAAGCTGGCCCAGACACCCACGTTAATCTAAAAAAAAAAGCTGCAATAATTGGTACATACCACTTGTAAAAAACAGGCACATTATATGGGTTGTTGATGTGATGATTTGCACTCGATGCAAATAATATAATACGACCATTTTGCTATGACTTGACGATGTTGTTGTAATGGCATCTTTCCCCTAAACCTAACACCATAAACATTCAGAGAAGACAAAAAAAAAAGCTTACAAAGTTTGGAATGGAAAAAACACATAAGCTACAAGCTAAAAACCAAAACCTAAAAAAAAGATATCAGGATGTGTTTAACAAATACATTGCAAATCGTGAAATCTAATTCACGTTTTGCAAGTTTGTGTAGGGGTAACTAAAAGGAAGGAGAGAGAAGGCAGCTTACCTGGCTAGGAGGGACTGATGCTATCAACAATTGTTGGATTTATATTTATATATATATATATATATATATATATATATAAAGTATTTAAATCTGTTTTTTTTTTTAAATAAAACTTGTTTAAGTTGATAGGTTTTAGTTTGGTTTGGTTATTTTAAAATAAAAATTAATTTTTTTTATTTAGCTTTATTTTTTTAGTTTAATTTAGTTTTATTCTGTTTGTTTGAGTTTGGTTGTGTTTTTTTAGTTTAAGGTTTATAAAAACAAAACAAACCCAATTAGTTTTTTTAAATTTTAATTAATTTTTTGTATAGCTAAATTTTTTTAGTTATTTATTTTAATTTTCTTGATTTAATCAATTTTTCAGATTTTTTAGCACCACTGATTGCCGGCAGAGGAGATTGAAGTTGGTGGGGCTGTCAGGTTGTGTTGTCATTCATGGTGGCGTGATGTTGCTGCGAGGAGAGAAGGTCGCTGCCAAAAATGTAAATAGCTATGAATTGGTGCATCGTGGCAGGGCTGAGAGAAGAGGTCATAATGCTGGAGGAGGAGTTTTCTGATGGGAGGTGGGGCTTCTGTTTGTAGTGTTTTTGGTTTAGAGTTCAGCTCACAGTGAGGAGGAGAAGAGGAGCTGAACTTTGTTAAAAAGCTATCGTGGGAAGATGAGACGTTTGGTGTGGCTGAGACGAAGATGAAGCTACCGTCGATGGTGGAAGGAGGATTTACAATGGAGGTCACGGTGAGGTGCAACAGCTGGAATAAGGTTTGCTGCTGTTGCTGGTGGTCTTTGGTTTTTTGGCAAACCAAAATTGGTGCAAAGGGGGATTTTCTTCATTATTTTTCTCCTTTTTTTTCTTTTTTTTTTTAATTTTTTTGGGCGGGAGATGAGGGAGGTGTTCTAGCTCCCATTTGAAGCCA